GTGTTCTTTGGAATGCATTTATCTTAATTATATTTCGTGTTGTTGAATTTTTGCATTACTGGTACGAATACCATCTTCATTCTTGAGGTATCTACGGTAATCAATTTTTGTTGATCAAATGAACAGTTATCTTATCTATACTGTAATTGATGTTGTCCGGCCAATCTAAATACTTTACTTACGATTACAGTTTTTAAATGTTCTTGTATTGTGAATGAAACTATAAATAAATCGAAGTATAAAAATTAGTTTTCCGCGAATTAAGGAAGAAAAATTTTGTTAATCAATCTCGCGAATTGAGGGAGGAAAAATTTTGTTGATCAAACTCAAAAATCCAAAATGTATTATAATAAAACTTGAATTTTTGAAGCAAGACTGCAATTTTTGTATGAATAAATTCATCGCGTAAATCTAAAGCGATGACATATTTTTTCTACGTAATAATTACGAATTACCAATTATGGGTCTGTATTTTATTCAATTAATGGAAAAGGAAAATTTTCTTTAATTGCGATCTTATTCAATTCGCGATTATGACAAAGCCAGATTTCACTATGTTTCTTACGTGTTAAAACAATCGGGTTTGCGTACTGAGAGTTGCTAGGTCGATTACTTTTTTAACTTACCAAGTAATTTAATAAAATTTCAAGTTTACCTTTATCAGAGCAAGATATACGTCGAGCACAAAAACTAATCGGTTGATCTTGTTTTAAAGTAATATTTGGAACTGTTTTTTATAAATTTCTAGGTAATCATTATCATATAAATTAATTTTTTTTATTAACACTATCTACATGTAATTCTTTATTGATTTTTAAAGTTTCATTCGTATACGTTGGAGATTGTGCTGTTTTCCAGCGTAGGGTAGTCCGGCAATCAATAAGATGTCGAATTACATTGAAAAAATGAGTCCCTCTGATGTTTTGGTTGGGTAATTTGTACATTCGGTTAAAAGATGATCATACTCCTCATAATTGCAGTATCTGACTACGTTTCTGCGCAGGATTCTGGATTCTGTCTGATAATTTCGGCATGGTCGTTTCTTCCTTTTTGTAGCCAAGCAGTCGTCTAGGAGTCAGTGTTACTTTCCGGAATGCTTCCAATTATTGTTCCTTTTCTTTTGCACCAAATAACACGACCTTAATTTTACAATTGTAAATCATTCACCCCGTCGATTATACATAGTCCACTAGATCATCATCACTAATAGGTACCTACTCGATTTGCCAAAATAACTTTATCACGGTAATAATGAATAAAATATTCCGTATGTTTGCATGTTCGGGTTTCAGATTCTTTTCGAAGCGAATCTTTGACTGTCGATAATCAAACATGCACCCCATGTAACTGAGAGGATCATTCGCCTTCAGTGTTAGATTGTCCGATCTTGAATGAAACGAATTCGCAGCAGGGTCTTCCAATTTAGAACTTATTAACACTCGTGTAGAATTATCACTGAAATGATAGCTTGTTCGAAGAAGTTCAGGCTGCTGCTGCTGCTACTACTGCCACTTCCAAAATGTATCTTCAGTGCCATCAAAATTATTAAGGTCATCAAAAGCCCTTATACTTAGGTTGTTCATAGTGGTACTCCGCGTATCAACAGTTGTTTCACTATAGTTTCTGGAGAATCGTTGGATAATACATTTTCTCGAAGTTCTAACTCTCTTTGGAAAAGGTCTCGTTCTTCAACTTCTCTATTTTCATCTCTTCAATCTAACTAATTATGGATATCTGTGTTTTGACAGTCACTTCTTTACCAATCTTGTGGTAAAACAATAGAGAATACCTTGTATAAAATATATACTTACATGAGAACCAACAAAAACACAAAGGTTACAGCCCAGAGAAAGAATACATCAGCCAACACAAAAACATGGCACGTGTAATTCTAGCAACAAATACGATGGTCTAATTTAAAACCTGATCAAAATTAAGGAACTTTCTCGTATATATATCGAATTCCTACTTGTTTCTCATAATTATCTCACACCAAGAAAATGAACCGTAGTTTATTTTAAATCTATCCCGACTAGTTAATTAAGGAACTTCTTGATCACCTTCTCCATTTTTGGCTTCATGTCCACGAATTAATAGTCTTCTTTTAGTAGCTTCTCTGTTGGAGAAATGTCCAAGTGACCATTTTCATTTACAAATCAAATAATGTTCAATTGTAAACTTGTTGGCACCACTGTTATTTTTTCTCCATCTACTTCTCTGTATATTATGATGCATGCTCTATTCTGATCCATTATTCTCTTGTAACTACTCTTTATCTTTCTTCTGGGATTTCTTAAGTAGTGACATTATTCCGTTTTCTTCAGCATCTATAAGTATTATATCTGGCAATGGATGACTGTTGAGACTATGAACATGTCGTATGCGTTTTACCGACTGATGCTCTACAACATTATGGAAATCTTGTAGAAAGAGTGCCCATCGTGCAACATATGCGCAAGCGTCCTTTTTCTTTAACGTTATAGTAAATGCTTGACAATCGGTAACAAGTCTAAACTTGATTCCAATCAAATACTTTCGGAACTTTTTAAAAGCCTTCACGATAGCTAAATTCTCTTAACTAAGCTGTAGTAATTTTTGCTCAGATGTAAAAATTGTACAACTGGCATAATAAATCGTTCCATAATCACGTTGAAATAAAATTGCGCCATATCGTTGAATTGACGCATCTGTGTGAAGTTCTGTTTCAGTTTCCACTTAAATTCTTTAAATGTATCACCTTCCTTCTCACAAAAATGTAAAGTATTTTCATTACGTAAAGGCCAGTCAATGGTCGCGATATGTATGCTTCTTCGTCAAAAATTCTATTAATGACATATTGAATCAACGACGCAATTTCAACATGTGTTTGTGCACGAATATCTCGCATTCTGTATGATTATTTATGGATGTTTCATTACCTCACTTTTTTCGTTCTTCCTTCTTCATGCACATCAAAACTATATGCTGTTACATTAAATAAATTGATTGGGGGCTTTCGTGGCCGTGGTCTAATGTACTGCTGAATTTTGGGATTATTAAACGTCCTCTGGAGAGTTTTCTTCTCCACATTTCGTCGCCTAGTGGTTGACATCTTCAGGAGTTCTTTTCTGACAATTAATTCCGCGCAGAATAGCGAAAGACGATTCGGAGCGTTTATTTATACCTGAACTGCTCGGATCTCGATTGGAGCATGTTTCGCTGGTCTGTGCTTAACCAATCGTCTAAACATAGCTCCTAACGATGTCAACCACTCGTGTCGACGGAACGTCGTGAAGAAAAATCTTCAGACAATAGTCAAGTTCGAAAGTCGCTAGACATCGTTATAAAAATACTTGGAATTTTTTTCCACGAGCGATCATATCGTTAATAATTTATGGAGAATTTTACACATCCACACAATAACCTTTTTGCGCAAATCATGTTTAGAATATCGCTCCTCGCACAAATCGTTGCGAAGTAGTCAAATTCACTTAACCAAATACGAACGTTTTTGCTACCATCATCAGGAAAGGATTGCATCTATTCCTTGACATCTCCACTATTTAGTACATATTCTCTAACTTCGTACCGTTTGTTTTCCAAACTTGAACTTTTGCCTTCCACACGGTCAGTACATCAATAGCTAGTTTTCACTTCTTGCGTCACTTCCCTTCTCTTCAAATCTAGTAGATATCTCCTAATAGTGAAACAGCTTCTAATCTAGTAACAAGCGCGTCTTTAATTTTTCTTCTTTTCAGTTCGTCTATTAATTCACATTCAATGCAGCATCGAATAGCGCTAATGTTTTTAGTATCACTTATTTTACCTTCCAAATAACGGGAGCGAACCCCGACAATTGTACGTATTTATTTTATACAAATTCAGATGTTAATTAAATAGAAAGTTTTTAGGAGAATTAAAACAAAATAAAATGATACAACAGAAAACGAAGTAATTCTTAGCTAAATATGTAAGCGAAACGTCTTTACTCTCGATCAATTACATCTCGACTAACTACCCTAGCGACTCGACGCAGCTGGTAGGTGCAATTATCGATTGCATAAACTTCCCAATAATTACGTTGCACTCCGTTAGCATATTGTACGAGGAGAATTCAAATATAAACGAGCCTTTCACTTCTGGGGACTCAGAAAATGTGTTGGACGTAGGCGGAGCATCGGGAAGGATAGGGGGATTTCTACAACTACAGATTGGTCAGGATTTTCCCCCTTTACGAAAAGCAGTTGATGTAATTCGCAGAATCACAGACAATCGTGTAAATTTTAGACAGATATTTTCACTAAGTAGGTAATGTTCTTTTTTGGGATCCTTTAACGTACATCTGTACATTTTTGTGCTATACTGCGACTAAAACAACTTCGGTCCTATCATAAAGATGTAAAGATAACCGTTATTTGGGTTCGACAATTACCATTTGCTTTTGTTGTACCGATAATGGCATTTTTACATGTAACGTTTTGATTAGATAATAGATCTGCACCGAATAATGTTTATCAACTTATAACTAAGGCGCTTTCCAAAAAATCGTTAAAGGATTAATTTTTCTCCTTTAACGATTTTTTGGATATAGTCAAGTTAATTCAACTTCTCAGTTCATTTGTTTTTTTGCGATGATATTCAAAATGTTTTTGGTAAATTTTGACAAAACTTTATCTCAAAAGAGCCCAAATTTCTGGGGAAAGTGAAGTGTTTATCTTCATTGTTTATTCCCAACTCTCTCTCCAAGACTTGAAAGGCTTATGAATTGCGTTTTACTGTATTATTGTCAACAGTAATTATCATTTCTTATTTTTAGAAAAACATTTTTTTCAATGAACAACGTTAAGAACGATTTTCGGTTACTAAGTCAAAATATCGCCGATCCCTAACTTCACTTATAACCAAGTTCTGCTGTACTTTCAACTTAGAAAACCAAAAGTGTTAGTAAAATTTTAAAATAGAGATTGTCGTGCCCTAAAGGAAAGTCGCAGCAGTATGTATAAGTTTAATAACGAAAAGAATTATAACACAAAACATATTTTATTTGATTAAAATCAGTATTCGGAGAGTTACATAGTATATCACATGTATAGTTTTTAAAGTCTATTGATGATCAAATAGTCATTGAAGATATCCATAAGGAGTTTGCTTCCTGCTTCTGCATATTTTGCTACCAAGTTATTAAATGGTTTAACCCCTTCCTTACCAACCTTGAGATTTAGAACGGAGCCATTTACTTTAGCTGAGCCCTGTACCTGGAATATTAATTAATTAATTAATACCTGTGGAAAATTGTCATAACGATATCGAGGTACAGCCCATTTCAATTTGTTTGAATTGTGACCTTGAAGAAATCTGAGCGAAGATAGAAAGAATACACACTAGGCGTGAGCAAGACAGAAATAGTTGGAACAAGCTTGAACGAGCAGAGCTCTCGATGGGCGGTCTTAGGAGATCGGCTAGAACTGTACAGTACTAGACGAAAATGTTTAGCAATTTCTTAAAACAAAAATGTATANAGCGACGCAGTCGACTTCACTCACTGAACGAAAAACCTAATTTGGTTCAACGTCGTTCCAATAGACGTACTGCATGCAGTCTGATCTGGATCAGTCAGCTTCAATCACCTTACCAACCGCCCCACCGCAGTTTGATCGGATTCGTCGACAATCGGCCGTCGAAGTCGAAGTTTGCTTAACCAATTATTCATCATCAAGGTTTTCAGTTCAAGAATGGTTGGAACTAAAACTAGAACAACCCATATTCTTAACTATTTGCGAATAGCCTTTGAATAGACCTTCATGCCTGAGAACGTATCTCGCCTATTTCTTATTGACTTCCGTAGAGTCCTCTGTTCTCGTATTCTTTCTAATACCTCTTCATTTCCAACCTTCCCTATCCACGGTATCCTCATCATTCGCCTGTAACACCACATTTCGAACGTTCGTAACCTTTTCTTTTCCGCCGCGCCCACTGTCCATGTATCGCACCCGTACATGGCCGTGCTCCAACCGATTATTCCCGGAACATTTAAATTTAATCATGTTTGTTACAATACACATTCTTTACATTACCCTGCTGAGTTTCCCAATTAATTTCCGAGGTTTCTGTAACCTTCTATGTGTAAACAGCTTTTTTGTTTTATACTTCCCAACTTCCCAAAATAATTTATAACGAATTCTATTCCAGACGAAGTAACTTGTTTGTTGTCATTCTGTTCTCATTTTCTTGTAAATTAAAAAAGCGAAATTTTTTGTTTAGTCTCTAATTTTAGCAGCAGTGTTTACGGAATTGGAAAAATATAACAACAGTCTTCTCATACCTCGTTCCACATTCTTTTTCCTCGAAAAAAACCCAAATTATCGTAAGTGTTCGACGGTATCCAGTCAATATTACAGACTTTGATGTATCTCTTCGTAAACGGTTAAAGATAAAATGAATAACAGATAAGCCTCCTTTTAGATGAATGATCCTTTACTGCTCTCTAATAAACGAAAGGTGTATTAAAGCGGATTACCGAGGGTTGAAAGGGAAATCCAGGACCTAAACTAAAAGCAAAACTTGAACGGCTATAGAAGTATTGATTTTGTATCAAAAGCGACGTTAAAGAGCTGATTATTCTGCTCATATAGCTGGTACATGATGTACACATTAGCTACATAAACATCTCCACAGTGAACACCAAATCCTATCATAATCGTCATCAAAAACCAATAATAATCTTCTTATTGATTTGGTTTACGAGCCATTCACGTAGGTACCCATATGATCCCCGTTGTCAATTCAAATGGACAAACAGGTAGTAGGGTCCTTGTCTAACATTTGTGATACTGCAGTTCTACCAAATATCAATAGATGGCGATATACTGGCGTAATTCGATGTTATGTAAACATGCTTAGGTATATGGAGCATCGTCGGTTTAGTCGGTGATTTATCGAGACTGTCTATAACGTGCTGATGAGGCCCAATAAAACCAACATATTGGTCCACATCACGTAATTTTGATAAATTACTGACCAACAGTTTAAACCGTATGTATACCCAAAAATAACAGTTGTTGTCATCAATCTGTATTAAGTATTATATTATTCAAGATTAATCGATTATTCGATCCTTGAAATTGAAAATAATGTAGATTTATTGACCACGTCAGTGGGAAACATACGGGTTCAACTAATTAAAATAAGAGGTAAAAGGGTCTTGAGGTATCTTAAGACAAAATAACAAGTACATGAATGTATCAAGTCAAGAGTAATTATTGGCTACATACAACCGAACTTATTTTGTCCTTCAATATAAAAAATGGAATCAGTTTAATGTTGCAATATTTTCCTTTACACAATTCCTCTATTTGCCACAATATTGCAGAATGCATGGGAACTTGACCTGAACTAGTTTATAGTTAACCTGATGACGGGGTATAAGGAGATACATTATTCGATTTTTGATTTAATTGTTTTACTAAACGTAGAAAGGAAGATTATAATCAAAACAGAGGTAAATAAGAGCAGAGATAAATATGTAAGCGGTGAGTTCAACTTCAAAAGGTAATTATGGTAGGAAGAAACAGAACCGTTAATTAATCTTGAGTTGAGAAATTCGATACAATTGTCTTGAAGGAAATAAGTTTTAATTAAGCTCGACGCTGAATAGTCGTATAGGTACAAGTAGACCGTCTGTTTAACTCACTAACTGCTAATTAATACTGAGCAATTTGTAAGCGAAAATGTTCCTGTTTAAATGCGATGTACAACTTTATTACTAGGTAACTACGACGCGATCACACACAAATATCTTATGTATAACTTAAGAACCACGATTTTGATGAAAATCGAGCCATTCGTATCATCATTGATTCATTCATTCATTATATTTCGAATGACACCCTGAGTTGAGTTTTTCGTAGAATCCGTTGTTTGTAATAGTCAAAATATGGTGTCAAAATTTCATTCAGTAGTTTTAATCTTGTGATGATCATCAGACAGTCAGTGAATCAATCATTTAGGATAAGATCCTTTATATCTATAGAGATTTACTTTTCGAAAACTGACAATAATAATTTGAGAAAATTCATTTGAGAGAAATAAGGCGTTTACTACGTAACAGAGATTTGTTTTCATTCTAAATCTGTTTATAGTATGAGATAAGAGAAAATATCAAAGAATACTTCGTGGATGAATACAAATTGGGTATGCTAAGGCAGTATTGTTACTGGCAAGATTATTACATTGTTTACTTTACTGAATAGAGCTTTTCGGGAAAGCTTTCAACTCTCGATCTTGTGAGCTTCATTAAATAAACATACTTAAAGGTAAAATGAGGAAAAAACCTATTTCAACCCTACCTGACTACTGAAAGATGTGTGTAGATTTGAATTTATGATTACAATTTTGGGCGGTTGATCTATAAAGACGGATTTCACATAAACCAAGTTAATAAAGAACATTAAATTCTTGGAGGAGAAAACAAGCAAGGAGGAATCTCGAAATTTAAACAGACGAAACACTTTTAAAACAGGTCAGAAAATTTAAATCGACTAATAAAATACATATGTATGCAACATCAACTTGAAATCACTTTTCGATTTTGAACCACTACAAATTTCCTCAAATTCATCAGGAAAATATTTTTGTTGTTGTTGTTGCCCCCCGCCGGGAATCGAACCCAGGGCCTTTGGCTTTACGCACCAATGCTCTGACCAACTAAGGTACCTCATTAAATTGAGGAAATTTGTAGTGGTTCAAAATCGAAAAGTGATTTCAAGTTGATGTTGCATATTAACATTGACCACTATTAGTAATTAATAAAACAATGCCTTACTACAATCTTACTGGACCATCCTGTAAATACATTTATAAAACAATCACTAATCAGCAAGAAGTAAAAAACTTAACTGGTACATATGCAATTCTTACCTTCATTATACACCATAGGATTTTTGAAGTTCAAGAACATTATCTCAAATAGCGTGTAGAAAGACAAGTAGAAGGGTCTTTTGCAGATTGTTTTAGTAGTTAAGCTGTGGAAAAGGAGAAAAAAAAGGTGGTTATTTATTTATTAATGATGACATAAAATAAAAAAAATGCAAAAAATTATAGAGGGTTATATCTAAGGTGACCATACGTCCCGGATTGGCCGGGACAGTCCCGGATTTCCACCTTGCGTCCGGGATTTTTCTAGAAGCAATATTTGACCCGGATTCAGGTTTTTATTTTCAATATTTGTTTTAACTAGAATTTTACAAAAATTAGCAGTTCTTTTTCTGCCTGCCTGGCACAAATGCTTCTAGTGAAAGAATCTTTTCTTTAATGAATAGCCTTTGAACAAGTGACAAGACTCGACTTGAAATAGACACTCTAAAAGCGATATTACTTACTAAAGTTAATTATGAAGAAAATTGTACAGAATTTTATACAATGCTTCAAAGTAAAAAAGACCTACTGAAAAAGATCCATAGTTCAGAAAAATATAAAAAGTATTGTACTTGGAAAGAATCCACCTTGCGTCCGGGATTTTTCTAGAAGCAATATTTGTCCCGGATTGTCCCGAATTTTTGAAAAGGTTCTTATTTTCAATATTTATGCTTCAATGCTTCAAAGTAAAAAAGACCTACTGAAAAAGATCCGTAGTTCAGAAAAATATAAAAAGTTTTGTACTCAGTAATACTGATTTTTATTATATCCTTAAATAGTATTTGTTATGTATAATTTTCATTAAAAAAAAATATTAAAAAAATCATATTTAAGTTATTTAATTTAAGTAACCCCCCCCCCCCCGCTACAAGTTCCCGTCCCTGATTTAAAATAAAAAAATATGGTCACCTTAATTATGAGTCTGGTTTACAATTTCAATTTTTACGTGCTAAGGAAAAATAATCGAAGAAGCTACAGAGCTGAATTAATTAGGATTTATGTTGCAAAAAAGTAGTGGAATGCATAGATACAAAAAACATGGAGAAGAAAACATTGGGGATAATGGAAAAGGTATAGGGCGAAAGAATCTCAAGGAAAGTTGAAAAAAGAAGACCATTCCTATTCCAGACGTTGCGTTGGTAGAAAGCATAGATGTTATTGTTCGGAGCGGAAATAGGGGGGTGAAATGAAAGAAAAGAAATTTATACCTTTAATAAACGTCACGGTAATATAAAAAAGAAAACATTACCTCTACCCTAAAGCTCCAATTGACTTTTTTTTAAATTCGTAAAAAAGTAAGAGGAATTAGATGCTTTCTTCCAAATTTCCATTGGAAGCATCGCCGCGAAAATATTTTATTTGTTTATTTATAACAAAAAATTAATGCCAAGTTTAAAAATCACTTGCAATAATTTAAAAAATGAAAAAATGGTTCATGGAAACTGCAGTGGATATAGGCCCATTTGTGAGATATTGGGTGGCAAGAATGTATATATAATGGTACCGTAGAAAACATAAATTCCGTCCCGTGTAAAATTTCTGTGTAAATTTCAACCGATTAATACTTGCATTTAAAGGGGGCAGTAAATGTAATGTGATGGTTTGGAAATCTTGCGAACCCTATATTTTAAATCTCTATTATACGAGGGCGATTCAGTAAGTACCCGTGTTTGAAGACAGGCGACGTTCTTGAGGGAAATTGGTGTTGTCATCGTGTGCTGCCATCTATCAAACCACGCCAAAACGAATTTCAGACTGATTGATAAGTTAGTTTGGATTTGGCAGCCATTTGACTGAAACGTGTTTCCTTGTTTTCGCTAAGATGGAAAAAGTGCAGTATCGTTCGGTAACTCGTTTTTTGTTTTTGGATGGAAAAAAATGGGAGAAGATGAAAACAAAGTTGGATACTGTTTGTGGAGACATCTCGCCATCTACGACCACAGTTAGATATTGCTTCAACGAATTTAAACGTGGTCAAAGATCCGTTTTTAATAGGAGCGACCAGGAAGCCTGGCAAACGTTGTTACCGAGGAAATCATTTTACGGATTTTTTAGGAAAAAGAAGAACTATCACTGGACAATACTACAGTGAGTTATTGGACCGCTTAGATTAAAGGAGACACGGACGCATTTGACGAAAAAGAAGGTGCGTTTTCAACACGGTAATGTACCGGCACATTCATCAGTAGTTATTGCCGCCAAACTGCATGAATTACGTTATGAATTTGCTGCCGCACACCCCGTACTCACTCGATTTGACTCCCTACGACTTCATCTTGTTCCCTAGCATGAAGAAATGACTAGCGAGAAAGAAATTAACTCAAACGAGGAAGTCATCGCCGAGACAGGAGGGATTTTGGAGAGTTCTACAAATCTTATTTTTATGGAGGGGTAAAAAAAATGGCAGGGTCGTTGGGAGAAGTGTATCTTTCTAAAAGGGGACTATGTTGAAAAATAAAAAAACAAATTTAAAAAAAAAGGTCTTCATTTCTAACACGGGTACTTATTGAACCGCCCTCGTATCAAAAAATTAAACTGTTATCATCAAATCTGGAGAAAAAGCTACCTCCTCAGTTATAAGTATAAATTTCTTGTATATATATATACTTAAAAATCATACATTCGGCAATCCATCCAGGTAAACATTGGCCATACAATAAAGCACTTCTGAACTCTAAAAACTTTTGGGTATTTCATTCCCACCAGCCACTAATATTGGTGGGCGGGCAGTCTTTCTTCCTTACGCCGGAAGGCCCTCTTCAGCTTCCTGTCAGGAATCTTGGGATGGGTGGGTGGTGTGGTTCGGGTGAGAAAGTTGAGACGGACGAAATGAAGACAGAACAGAATGAAAGATTATCTGTGGAATATTACTGCTCCAGAATTTGCTTAAGTAATGTAAGGAAACCACAGAAAAACTTGGACCAAGGCAGACGGACCCGGAATCAAACGGCAGTTTTTCCGAATTAAATTTACAAAGAACAATAAAAATGACCCGGATGGAATTTACGTTAGCTACTTCTATAGGGTTGTTCGGAAAGTCATTTCGTTTTTTCCCGACAGAGGATTTAATTGTATTCTTTTGCACCCAACTTCACATTTAAGCCGTATAATTTTTATATGCTTTGAGAGCTCATATANATTATTTTTGGCTAAATATGCTTTTAAATAAAGCATATTCTTAAATTTTAACGAGGCAGTTTAAATAATTTTGCAAATGGTACTGTACACTTTTGTCTAGTTGTCGCTCGATGATCGGTGGAGAAATGAGCTTCCGCAGATAAATATGATTGAAGTTGGAATTATGCTACGGCGCATCCTAAAAAACTAACAGTAGTTTTCATTCTTGCACAAGCCTAGTTGCTAATATACCTGTTGTTTTATTCTATTTATTATCATTGTTTCTTGTATGGTATAATAGAGCATAAACTATTATGGTGTTAACAATTAAAAATTAATTAATTACTTACGACCAAATCGCTGACTTCTACGGAAAGGAGGAAAGTTTCCATTTTGAGAGGGTTGTGGCTGAAAAGGTGGGTGACTTTTTCGAATATTCCAAGGAAAGAACCGCTAAAGGAATTCACACCGCATTTTAGATTACTTTATGCTGTATGCATATTTAGACTTACCGTAAGAATGGAACAACATAATTAATACCCAATTTCTTACTGGACACAGAGAGCCGGTCAACACTATAATCAATTGAAGGGTAGTATAAAGTAGCATTGATGACACCGTCCACTACATCGTTTTGCGTTAATTCAAATCTGGAGAAGTTGCCTATAGATCCAGACTTAAGGGTGACAGAAATGCTTGAATAAAAAAATATTATAAGGTCTAGCTTTTAATGATAATTTACTCCCTGTACCTACTGTATCATAAGTTTTTTAAAACGTATAATAAATGAGGTAAATAAAAAATTATTATAAACAATTCCCCTGTATTAAGAAATACATTTTTGTGGTGAGAATTTTTGTTACATCAAATGTATCTATTAAGAAGGTATGAACAAAAAAAAATTAAAAATTTTGTTGAAGCACCCTAATGAACATGAGAGGTATATAGTTTATTAACAACTTTTAACCAGAGGGTGTCGTTTTGTTTATTAAAATTTATAAATGATCTTATCTATATATGTAGGGTAAGGATGCCGAATATAAGATAGTTATGTTTTGGCGAAACTAATCGCCGCAGTGACTTGGCGCTACTGTCGCTAGAAACCATAACATCAAAACGTGTATTAATGCTTCACAGTCCGAGGCGGTGTTTGGTTGTATACGCGCGGGCTTTTACGTAACCCCAAAACCTAATTTTTGTCATTTTAATTTACAGTTTTATATATATATATA